TCATACAAGTGAGTTGCTAATGTTTTTTTTTTAAGGAATCATCACAGGTCACCATCTGCGTGTTTTCGGTCATTCTCTTGACTTCCTATCTGTATTGTTTCTAAATAGGGTTCATCGACTCAACATGACCTGTACAATGTGATATTATTCATAACCACCAATGCTGTATTTAAAAGGCTTTTTGAAGTTTGATGAACATAACGACATAAGCGATTCTATGTTATGACCAAGGAATTATATATTTTTTACGCGTTTAAGAATTAAGCCTGGTGAAGTACGAGAGCGTATATATTTTCATTATATATTCATTACACCTTGCATCTAATATCAGCAGGGATGTATCATAACAAATAAACTCTATTAGGATGTTGCCCCGAAAAGTGACGACACATGATTTCAGAGCAACTATCTATATACAATCTATCATGGCATTACAACTCTGTCCCATGGTTTTCTGGGGGATTTTTCTTCACGGAAACGTGACTATGTGAAGAGTTGTATGTAAGCTAGTTACTGGCCTGGTATTATTGCAGCCTGGTACGTAAGACCTTCATGATATCGATGATGATGATGCTTCTGATGCTGCTGATGATAATGGAGATGTAACTATCTTGAACAAAAGGCATCTTTTGTCATTTAACTAAACATTAACTCTCCAATTCACAGAACATGAAGAGGATACTGGTTTATCTTACTTTGAATCTGACAGTAGTCATCGTGAACAGTGACACGACGGTGACGATCCACCCTCAGTGGTTGGCACAGGGAGGTAGTGCTCGCTATGACAGCAATAGGTGGAACAAGCACAATGGTCTGGATCAGGAATCCCTCATCCCCAAATGTCGAAACCTTCGGACTGACGGCGGGCGCTGGAATAACAATGGCCTTTCGTATCAGCTTTTTGCAGATGTAAGATAATATTGTACTTATTACCACCACTACTACTTCGCTGGCAGTGTTGACATTGATATTGAGCCTATAAATGATGAAAAACCCTTGATAATGATACTGCTATGGAATCTATTTATTACAAACTATTTTCTTTCCATCAACACGATGATCTTTTGCTGTTCGGATAAAACTCACATTTATCAACTTTTCAGCTTAGGGTGCTAATGGAGCCGTACCATATGCTAATATCAAACACGAATGACAACTAGAGACTAACTGATAATTAGAATATATAGACCCTAAGGGTATAGACCCTGGAACTGGATAATCTAGACATCCGCCACATACTGGATATCTGCATGGCCGTGAACACTCAGATCAATAGAACTTTTGCAAAAGCAATTAATCACTTCGTCCTCAGAATCACTGCCCATGATACTTTTGTCAGATTAGTCACATGTTGCTAGCCTAGTTCCTTACATAGCCAATGCACCATCAGCAATCTTGCATCAGCATCAGCAATGTCAGTCTTAATGAAACGATATATTTTACAGTCAAAGTATATATGCTCAGATCTATCAGTATTTTGATCAGTCAACTGAAATCTATTCACAGCAAGGTGTGTAACATCATAAGAGTTTGCTGACACGATATTCATGCATACATAAACTACTAGCAAAATAAAGTTATCACTTTTAAAGTAACTCTATAGAAAAAAACAAACAAACATAAATTTGAACAGGAGCAGAAAACATTCGCTAACACGCAACTTGTCCGAAAACTTCGTATCAAACGTGCTTTTTGTACAACGTGAAAAACGTAATTCTGGGAGATTCACGTGTATAATTGTGGCATACATAGTGATGATGGACAGAGCAAGCATGAAGTAACCCCAAAACCAGCACAATATGGTCAAGTGAAGTCGATGATCAATTTCTTTTGTCCGGAAGTTTACATTGTGGGAAAATGGGAGAATATGGCCCTTCAAATCGGAAGATCCATCATGTTCCTCTCAGAAGTGAATTTTAACATGATGGAGTGAAACTTTATTTCAGTGGCCTGAGGACCCAAACCGTAGTGGCTACCCAGATCCCAGCTACCTGAAGAATGCCACCAAGCAGAAGGAACTGTTTTCCTTATACCTTGATAATATAAACAGTGGCTATGAGAACGACATGATCATGATGTCAGAGGGTAAGACTATATTTATGCGCTCAGTTCCACGGTGTTTTTTCCACAATGTATAGAATTATTTGGCCTTTTTAAGAATGCAAACTGAATGATGATTTTTGAAGTTTTCAGCCCTTTGAAATGTTGCATCTCATAAATTCTTATTTTAGTAAGTGAGTGAGTGAGTGAGTGAGTGAATATTTATCGTCACATCGGCAATATTTCAGCCATATCGTGACGAGAACAGTTTATAATTATATTAAAGATCTATAAAGTTAGAAATTAAAAACCTGTTGACGAAGAACAGTAAAACTAATAGTGTATCACAGATATCCATTTAAGACTAGTAAATAAATCTAAAATATTGGAGTGAGTGAGTGACAATACAATATAAAAACAGGCTATAGATTGCCAACGACTGAAGGTAGATCACCATACTAGGGACCAATTCTTATTTTACTTGTACTTTAACCTAATATTCACACTATAACATGCAATTAAGTTGGCTAAAAAGCCATTATTGTACTTTTTATTTGATAAAAAAAAAAAAATGAATGGTTTCTGCATAGTCCAGCCAATAAATTGCTCGTTTATGGTATTTTAATGAAAGTATGGCTGTTGCAAAGAAAAGGAGGCACTCAAAGATTCCATGTTCACATCGGTAGATGTGGAAAGAACTTGTCGAAAAAAAATCCAATGTATTGCCAAATGTTAGTGCCTCACAAAACATGACGTGCTATGGCTGCTCTGCTTGATAAAAATAATTTGTGGTGTATGTTTCCGAAGAGTAATCATCATTAAAAGCTGCCTTAAACACTATTCACTCAGAAAAAAATCCTTTTCTTTTTATTTATCACCGGTAACCCCCAACCCCAACCCACACCAAACTACATCTTTTTTTCATGCTAATTCCAGGTCTAAATATGTTCCCGAGGTGGTTGAACCAGTCCGAACACTCAGGTCAGTTCCCAAACAACGTCGATGCTGCTGCAGAGTTCATGGTCTTGATGGTGCAAGGAATTTACGACTTCACCAAAGGACGAATCCCACCCTACATTGAACCCATGAATGAACCGGACGGCAAATATAACATTTTGAATTTCACAACTGTTGCCCAGTTCCACAAATTAGTTGCAGAGAAGCTCCATTCAAGATTTAACATTAAAGTGGCCGGCCCTACACTGGATGGAGAAACTGGATCTGCGGATAGAGACAATTTTACATACTGGAAAAAAGTAGCAGATTTCATGGACGTCACTCTGGATTATTTAGACGTATTTTCCTTTCATTCATACAACTCTCTTATTGTTTCTGGAAAATCTCACAACCTTACAGGTATGAATGAAGCAAGATTGGTAGCATTTGTCGACCTTGTTGAAAACAGGAAAGAGTATTCCCCTTGTCATCAGTGAATATGGTCGCGATATTGTGATAGGAATTGACAAATACGCTCCGTCAGGTATTGTAGACTTTTCCACGATATATCACTCCAATGCTCACAGATTTACCTTTCTTGGTCTCCGGGAATACATTGACAGAGCTGTGGTGTTTCTTTTGGCCTCTATACAATATCCTTACTACTCCTGGTCTCTTTTCACTCCCCAAGGACAACCTAAAAGAGTCATCGACGTCTTTGAGTTTTGGTACAAATTCACGTCAGACTACTCCTTCCTCAGAACTACTAGCCAACATGATGGAGAAGAACGAACCGTTTCGCCATTAGCAATGGCCAGTCCATTGAAGAATGAATTCGTCGTTCTCTTACATAGTTATTCTCAGAAGTCACAGAATGTCAAGCTTGACTTTGAAGACGATTGGATCAAACCAACCACAGGAGAAGCAACCTGTGTCACCATCAAGGACAACTGGTACCCAGTCATCACCTTCAATGAAACGTTTGACATCCAGAAGACACAAGGAATAGTTGAGCTTCTTCCTGAAGCAACATGTCACTTTACATTCAAGACCTCTTCAGAGCAACTACCTAGAGTCACATTCAACGAAACCACATACTATGGAGCTAATGCACTTATACCAATCAAGGGCAATACCGTCTCCACAGTAGTATCACTACCAGCAGGTCAATACCACAGTGCAAGACTTAGAGTTTCAACCAGTTGGTCGATCAATGTTACAAACAGTATGACATTCCTCAGCTTTAACGACCACCGGCTAGAATCTTACTATAATTTATATGATTCCAACAAGTTTAACAGCACTACCTACTGGGAGGTTCGAGAGTTTGTTGTCCCTTCCTCCCTGTTCGTCGCTGGGGCTAACCAGGTACAGGTTCATTTCTTGAAAAGCATGACCATGGGATATGTTTCGTCAGTAGCCCTTGTCACAGCCAAACTTGTCCCAACTGATATAAAGTCCTGAATGTACGATAGTTGACCAATCGGAATTATATTATATAGAAAAAATTGTTGCAGGAATATATGCTTTTGATTGAGCCAGTTACAACAGAAATTGTCTGCCACAAACACATATTATTGCAACCCTGAGATATTTTAATATAAATAAAGACATATCTAGCTTTTCATCTGCAAGAGTATGTAGTCTCCAAACAAAAAAACAACTCCCTCATGTCGTTCCTATCCACTATATCCCACTCCTCCTTCTCCCCCTCACCTTTCCACTTCTGTGCGAGTCTTTCCTCAATAAATGGTACAAAAGATCAGATTTTTAAGTTGTCTGTCGCAGTGGATGAGGAGCACAATCTTAAAAACACACATAACATTCTTACCCATTCGCTTTCTTAGTGCAACTATAGTCTGTTTGCAGGGAAAACGTACCGATTAATTTAACTTTAAACAAGAAAGTAAATCGAATAAAGGGAAATTAAGATTGCGAATCTTCATAATTCTACCTTGCCAACTGAATATTTAAATATCAGAATTCTACTAAACTTAGGATAAAAGTTGTTTAACAACGATCATAGTTTCAAATCGTTATTATTGGTTTGTATCACAAGGGTGTATGCACATTAAATGAAACACCGAGATCAAGTAGGGTTGGTCTAAGTTAACGCTCATCACGTACCGCACGTGCATTTGTTTCAGTGTTCCAACTACTGCACTCATCCCTTTGTAATACAAACCAATAATAGCGGTTTGAATCTATGATCGTATGTTAAGCAACTTTTATCCTAAGATGAATAAAATTCTGAGATTCAAATGTTCAATTGGCGAGGTAAAATTTTGAGGATTTGCAATCTTAATTATTCAATTTATTTGATTTTGTTGAAAGTGAAATTCATCGGCACTTTTCCACTGCAAACAGACTATATAACAACGATGAGTGCATCTTCACTGGCTAACACCGTCCAAATACGACCTCTATCAAACCGATAGTTGTGTTTCACCAGATTTATTGTTACCTGCATGGGTGTCCCTTTTTTTGCATTAGAACTCTGATATAACATCAAATAACCGGTTTGTTATAGGTATATGGTAACAGAAGTGGTGTCAGAGATTTGCCGAGTGTTGCCTTACACTATCAGCCAAGCTGTTACCAGAAATACCAACATGTCTGTGTAACCAAAAGAAGGCGATATGGTATTGGCCAGTAGCAAGATCATGATATAATTAAAATCTTTCGATTAAAAGAGGATATTTACATGACCTATTCATAATACCTTGTAAACGTGAAAGTGAGTCTGAAAATATTATACATTGTTTATATTTGCAATGTTCTATTTATATATTTAACAGCTGTTGATATAACAGTTGCTTCTGCCGAACACATACAAGTGTGGTAATCGAGAATAAATTGTTCTGGATGCCATGATAGTGACACAAAAAAAAATCGCCGCAATCTTTGGCTCTATCTATCAATATAGATTTGAGTGTATGATAATAACGTTTCAGGTGAAACATTCTTTTGTTGATACTGTAATTTATTTGTTTCTTATTTCTTAAATATACCTGTGTTTTTACGAACTGCCAAGAGAGCTTGCGAAAAGACGACATAGTTTCTCGTTCAATGTTTGCTGAAATGAAAGGTTTTTAATTATTCCGAGACACGGAATAAGGGAAGATTTTTATGATACTGATCCTTATAAAAGGGATTTAAGACACAGTTGTATACAGACTCATTGGAATATATACTAGGCGTCATTATGCTAGGTGTCAAATTATATATAGCACATGTAAAGAAACGTTTCTCAGAAATAATTGAAATAAGAGTGTCATCATAATGTTTAATGTGTTGACAAACGTGACACATCGTGACATACAGACAAAAAGTTCAAGTGAGTGAGATAGTGAGTTAAAATGTATCGTCACATCGGCAATATTTCAGCCATATCGTGACGAAAACAATTACATGTTATACATAGTAATTAATGGTAAATTATAACTGTCCAAAAAGTTCAAGCAGCACTAGCAAACATCAGTTGTATAGACCAACCCCTCAAATTGAAAATGACCAACATGGAGCACTCGGTCATTCAGTATCTTGTGTACCCTCCTTGCGCGTCCAAGACACACGTGCACCTTGTTCTCATGCTCCTCATCAAGTTCATAAAGAAAGCTTGCGGAATCGCATTCCATTCCTCTACTAGAGCTATGCGGAATCCTGGGAGATCCTCTAGTGCTGAGTGACGTGTATACACACGCCGACCGAGTTCATCCCAGGTGTGCTCAATAGGGTTGAGGTCTGGCGAGCATGCTGGTCACTCCATCCGTTCTACACCCTGCTGCCTAAGGAATTCCGTGAAAATCCCGGCCCTATAAGGCCTAGCTTTGTCGTCTTGCAGTAATGTAATATGACCTATGCCTTTATTGATAAATAATTATCTGCGTGGAAATCATGATCTTTTGCTGTTAAGATCAAATTCTGAGACTCATTAACACCAAACAGACATCTAATTATTTTCTCTTGCAGACATAAGTTGTTTTCTCTAACTGCAGAATTGGTCGGAATGGGCCACGACAATAACTTACAAATGTTACAACCACTGAAAACGTATATGTTGTACTATTAATCAATTCTTGACGCCATAGAATATCCACTAAAACTAGTGAAAATGTCAAGTAGCGTGACATTGTAAGATTTTAGCTTCTTTCCAATTTGGAATTCATGACATTGGACATAGGACGTACTTCCATTAGTCACTTATGTTGTTATCACAGCTGTTTAGAGGTCCATTTATATGATTTCTGTTTTTGATGATAATGACTACTGTGTATTCTTTTGCCCTAACGTGTCATATATTTGATAACATCTGTAGAAATACGTCATGATGTTTCATACCATCGTGTCTCCTTGCTAACTGAATGCCTTCTTAAACGAATTAATAAAACTTTTATTCAGTGGCCTGAGGACCCACACCGGAGCGGCTACCCAGATCCCAGCTACCTGAAGAATGTCACCAAACAGAAGGAACTGTTTTCCGTATATCTAGCTAACATTAACAGTTGTTATGAGAACGACATGATCATGATAGCGGATGGTAAGACGTGCAACCACAAAATAAAGGACATTATAATGATGATTATATACAATGTTTCGGGACCATGACAGATCCCTTCATCAGGTGAACTGACATCACCATGAAGGGGTCTGCAATGGTCCCGAAACGTGTGTGAAAATCGCTATACAACTTTTCCCCACTTTGAATTGGAGACAACCTTTAACAAATCGAGTGCCTTCAGGCATTTAGCTTTAAGGGATTTAATATGTGGCAGGAATGTTAAATGGGAATCGAAAATTAGGCCAAAGAATTCGGCCACCTTTTCAACTTTGATGGGAGTACCATTTAAAGATAGTTCTTGGTCCTTATGAGGCTTATATTTTCTACAAAAATGTATACAATTAGTTTTTTATTTAGAAAATTTAAAGCCGTTTTCAAGACACCATTGATTTATTTTGTTTAAACACAACTGCAGTTGCCGTTCAATAATATGCATATTTTTACAACGACAAGAAATATTGAAATCATCCACAAATAATGATCCATCAATTGAATCATTTAAAACCGTTGATAAACTATTTATCTTGATGCTAAACAGTGTGACCAGACAAAATACTGCCTTGTGGGACATCCTGATCCTGATTGTAATGATCATACAGGGTTGAACGCACTCGGACTTGAAATTGCCTGTCTTTTAAAAACTGTGATATAAAAAGAGGCAAACCAAAATCATGTAAATCCTTTAAAATGCCATGCTTCCAGGTGGTATCGTATGCTTTCTCGAGATCAAAGAAAATTGATACATCATGTTGTTTATTTACTATAGCAGTTTTAACAAAGGATTCTAAACGTACCAAATGATAAATGGTACTACGACTTTTCCTGAAACCACATTGAATATTTGTTATAAGGTTATTGGTTTCAAGATACCAGGTTAATCTATACTGAGTCAAAAAAGAAACTTCACAAAATGTAATTTGAAAAATAATGAATAAT